AGAGCATTTCTCACCAACCTAATATTTCCTTCTATGTTTGTGTGCTAGATATGACTACGTGGAAGTCATCGACGGAGAAAATGAGAATGGACGTTTATGGGGAAAGTTCTGTGGAAAGATTGCCCCTTCTCCTGTCGTGTCTTCAGGGCCATTTCTTTTCATCAAATTTGTCTCTGACTACGAGACACATGGTGCAGGATTTTCCATCCGTTATGAAATTTTCAAAAGAGGTGAGTGAGTAGCTTATGGTAGAGCAACTATAACTAAATATTTCTTTAGTATTGTTTGATTTTATGAAAGACAAAGAAAAAAAAGACAGGTGTAATGCTTTTCTTCTTTCATAAAAAAATGACATGTTCCCATTACAAAAATGTTGGAAAATACTTAAGTAAAGGAAAATTACTCAATGTATGGAAGAAATATGTTTGAAATTGAAAAAAAATATTTCAGGAATCAAAATTGCATCATCCCAATGCACTAACCAGTGTTTATAAGGAATATCTTCCAGAAAACTCTTTTAAGGGCATTTATTCTTATCTTTTATCTTTAAAAATAAGTTTGGTCTACTCTTGAAGTTTGATTTCTTTTGCTAAAAAATCTTAGTTCCTCTTGCCTTGAAGCCCTGTAACTCCTGTTCCCTATATTTTATTGCGGAATTCAAAACTGGTAGTTCCCAGGAAAAGCAAAGCGGCCCACCAGCCTTATTGTTTCTGTAGCTATTGTGGGAAGATTAGGCTTTCTAGTGACAGAGAGAAGGCTAGACAGAGAACCTCTTGGAGGAAACAAAACAGTAATGCTTTATATGGCATTCCCTTTCAGAATGAAATATGTTACCCCCTCTAATATAAGCATCTACTAATCTTCTGTTAGAACCATATATATTGGGATGGGACAGAATATAACAATTTATAGGCTCCCAACCTTGAGGGATTAAACGCATATATTGGTCAATAAATAAACAATGTAACTTTATTGGATATCACTGTTTTTAGCAATAACCTATAGATCCTTTTATATGTTAAATTCAGCCTTTCTGTTAATTACGTTTTTAAGTTGGCTTTAATGTGTGGGGAACCAGTCCCCGCACGGAGGCTCAAGGCGTGAATATTTTGTCCTTGAATGAGAAAAAGCTTGTTTTAATAGAGAAAATGTAGCCAACCAATTTCAAAAGCCTAAGGTCTTCTGGGTCAGCGACAACTGAAAATAATGAAAAGGAGAGCCAGGAATTTCTGGGAACATTGGTGGAACTTCTTTAAATTTCAAAGATATTTGGCCCTAAACCCATATAAATATGGATAGATGGAGAGGATTGTGTTCTGAAATTTACCTAAGCACATACTTAGAGCCCTTTAGTATAATTAATGCTATACACATGACATCAGTGTGGACAGATGATTATATATGTACATATTTTCTTGCGTTGAAAGCCATTTGGCTCATTGTATAAAATTATACTGTACATGTACACGTATGGACACATACATACATGTCTACATTCAATTGCTTTTATTTGCATGTGCCACTATCAAAGACAAAAGGTTAAGAACAGCCTTTCATTTTCAGTGTTTCCCAAAGACCTGAAGATTGTTGAAAGAGAAAAGAGAGAGATCGGTCACTAAGTCATCGAGAATTCTCTATCTTCTTTCCAAAGGAGCTCATTCCCTACATTTCTGTTAGTCTCAGCTGCACTGACGTTTCCCTGTCCTGCTGTCCAGCACCATCCGTGAGACTGAAATGTCTCTTGTTCTTTCTCTTCTTGACTCCCTACATCTAATAGGGCTTCTAGTTCTTTTTAATTTTCATCCAAAGGTCTCAAAGAGTCACAGCTTCCTTTCCATGTCCACTGCCATTACCCAAATAAGCCCAGGTTGT